CAGAACTACTCCTCCCTTCCTTCCCCCCACAGCCCCCACCCCACCCCCAAATAAAGGTCAGTGATAGAAATAAATGCAAAAGCTTGGCCCGCCCCTTCCTCAAGCCCAAATCTCCTCTTCGGAGGCCTCCGTAAGCTTCAGGAGATCTGTTTACTGTGCGGTGAGGCCTCCTAACCCGAGTGGAGCCAGGTGTGCCGGGGGGGTTGGTGGGGGTGGGAAGTTGCTGCACGACAACATCCTGGTGGAAATGCAATGGTGCATTTCTAATTGCTCCAGGGGAGCTCGTCCCCTTCTTCGCAGGCTCCTCTTCTTCCAGACAACGGCTCTGTCCATGCAGGGTGTTCGGGTCGGGGCACGCTGTGCCACCTCTGGGTTCCCCTGGTTTGTCTTTCTGGGTGCACGTTCAGCCCCCGCTTGCAGAACACATTACGAGCATCTGTTCACAAACCAAGAGCACGGATCGATCTTTTTCCACTGCAAAGATACTTGAGCAAACAGCACGCTGGTGTGCAGAAGTGCCCACGGGGAAGGGTCAAAACCAGCGAGGTGGCCACACCAGCGAGAGGGAAGCGCAGGGTGCGTAAAGAACAGGCCGAGCTTTGACTGCACCGTCCCAGCTGCCACCTCGACTCTTTTGACCCTAACCTGAGGACTCCCCTGCTGGCGTGGAAAGCGAGGATTCGAAGCCCGACATGCTCGGGGGCATCAGGTTGGGAGACACTGTCCTGCAGTGAAAAATGCCCAATTTTTCCATGTGCCTGGCAGAGTGAGCCAACCTCTTCGACCCCATTTCTTCCAAAATAACATAAATAGCCACAGCTGATGTCCTACTGCCCAGTGGGGGGTCTGCGGCAGCCGAGTACCTTCCCAGTCACCCCCTGAACAGGAAGTTGGCCAAGTGCGCGTGTGCACACACACACACACATGCACACACACACCCCAGCAGGAGGCAGGAAACCAGCGGAAAAGGTCACAGATCGCTGCTTTGATAGGGCACCTTGATATAGAAATACAAATTCAAAAAATTAGCCAGGCAGAGCAGGGAAAGGGGCTGGGTCTGGCCTCTGCCAGAGGAGGAGAAGCAGCCACAGGTTGAGAGCACGTTCTGATTTCCAAAGGGAACCATGGTTTGTCCACAGAAAACCCATGGCTTCCTCTTGGTTCAGCTCTGGGCTTTGCAAGGGAACGGGGGACACAGCCCCGTCCCCCGCAAGGGCCAGCTGGAGGAGGAAAGGGGAGAGGAGGGAGCAAGGCCTCTCGCCACGTCCAGCCGGCTGCTGGCTGACCAGCTTTGCGGAACGTGCTGCGCTCCTCCCCCGGCCGCAGCATCCCGGACTCCGGTGCGTGCGAGTCGTATCCTGCCTGGCAGGCTTCATCAAGGGCGCCCCTCATCTGCTTCTGCCTTTGCTTTCCCAGCTGCCGGGAGAGGCTTGGTTATGGCTTGCTTCCCTTCATGCTGTGCACTAGACTGGCTGCCTGCTAGAAGGAGCCGCCTGCGGCTCCGCAAATGCCCAGGCCGGCCTCCGTGGCCCTTGGCGTCAAGGCAGCCGGCGCTCCCTGCATTTGGCTTCCGGCTGGAGCGAAGCACACCGCTTTGCATGCGCCAGCTTGCACTTTCCTGGTTCGGACTGCGCCCCCCTCCACCCCGGGGACGGGGCCCGCCTGCCTGTACCCAAGGCCTTCCGAGCAAGCCTGTCCCTCCATTCCCCAAAGCCGTGCCAGAGAAGGCCAGCAGGGCTCCCGGGAGGGCAGCTCAGCAGAGGGGTCCTTCTGGGAGCCCACCCGGGTGGGCAGCCTCAGCTGCCCCGGAGCTACTGTGATTTTTCATGGCCTCTCAGTGACTTCTGTTACCTCCTTGATAAAGCTGGGTCACAAGGTTTTGCTTTGGGATTTTTTTAAGGCTGCTGGTTTTTATTTGGGGTCTTGATCCGGCCCGCTGGTTCCTCCATCGAGAGACTTCCGTCGCCTCTCCAGACGTTTGCAACAGGCAGGAGCACGCCCTCCGCAGCCTCTTCTCGACAGCAACTGCTGCCTGTCGGGGGCCAGAAACAGAGCAGGGTTTCCACTCCTGGGTCCCAGGACACAAACGCACACAGACGAGGCCCGTGGCCTCACGCCCTGTCTGTCACCCACCCCCCACCCCCCACTCTGCTGCTGTCCCCCTTGGTTTGGTTGAAGGTTCATTAATTGACAGGGTCCGTTTGACGTCACCCTTATTTTATAAAGATTTCCTGAGGAATTTCTCCTTCTGCAGAGTAAGGGAGGCCTGACTCGCTCACCTCCCTACCCCGATGTTGTGATACGCCCCCCCACACACAGAGATCTATGTTTCTTATTATTATTATGATTATTATTATGATTATTATTATGTAATAAATTTATAAGAAATCACTTGGCTCTTCCTTGGTTATTTGCTCTGTCGAGAGGTGAGGTTCAATCCTACGCCCATTCCTTGCCCTGCACAGGTACGGTTTAAATGCACCTGTAAGTCTGGCACGTGGGGAGCCAATGTCGGGGTGCTCAATAGCAGGTTGGGCATTGGCGCTCGCCTTAATATCTCGGCACAGTTTGGCCCGTGTTCCGAGTACCGTCCACGCCTGTCTCCTGCAAGCCACGCTGGCTTAACGTTTGCAGACGTCCTGAAGGAAGCTGAGCCCAAGAGAGGTTTCGGCTTTCCGGCCATCTTGGATCATTCAGGAGCTCCGTGACTGGCCCATTCAATGGACCGGGCATGTCGTACAGAGAAGAGAGGACGGAACCGCTGGATCACGACAGCTGTGCTGCTGGGAGGGGTGACAGGAGGCAAACACGGTGAAGGGAGGGAGAATCACACTAGTTGCACCGGGGGCCTTTCCCCATATCCATGTAACCACAGCACGAACATACCACGGCTGCCTCGTTCTTCTGCCATGTCCTTGTGATGTTCCTGCCTTATCCCCAACCCAGGCCTGAGGCACCCTTGGCATCTTCCCCCTTATGCAGGCGAAGGCTGCTGCAGTTCTGCCATGGGTGGACCAAACAGATACCCACTGGCCACTTTCGACTATTGTGGACCGGCTACTGCCCCTCTGGCCCCTGGACACTGTCTTCCAGAGGGCATCAGCTCTGGGCACCAGGAAAGTCCAGTTCTTCCATGCAGGCCTCTCCACCTAGATCTGCCAGGTATCTAAGTGGTGGTGGGCAAGGGGCTGCAGGATGATATGGGAAAAACAGAAACCTTTCTGTTGCCGCAGGACACAATTCACCCCACACCTATCGGCTATTTTTAAGTTGCTTTTGAACATGGACTCGGTGGTCTTCGGCAGTAAACCCAGCCCCCAAAGGGGCTCTGGTTTGGGGCGACCATCTTTTGTACATGGATTCCAAAGGAAGGGCAGTCAATTGATCTCAGCGGATCATTGGGCTTCCTTTGGACTCTTGTTTAGCCCCAAAATAGGCTGAGTGAGTTTTGAGAGATCACTCGAGCCATCTGTCAAAACCTTGTAAGGAGAGTGACTGGGGATATTTTCCCACCCGCGAGAGCATTTGGTGGGAGAGCAGGGAAACTAAGCCAGCAGAACCCACCAATCCTCATCCTTAAGATGCCACCTTAAGCAAAGGAAGCACCATTTGCCAGCACTGTGCAAGTCAACATTCACGCTGGTAACATTTTCGGCTGATTCAAGGACTGGTGTAGGCACTTTAGCGTGGCTCTTGGGAAGACTCCATAGATTCAGGGACCACGTTTACGTGACCTGTTCAGCCAGACTCAGTAAACCCCAACACTGCATTTGCATCAATGGCTACGCTTGGGCCGAGTTCGCTTTTTTGGTGTCTGTGTCATGCGAAGCTGGCACGTCTGGTTCACTGTGTGATATGAAGCAGGAAACAGACTCGTTCGGCAACAACGTGGGCAGGGTGGGCCAGCCCAGCCAAAAGGTTTAATCACCCAGAGGGCACAGGAGCTTTTCTTCCCACGGCCTCCAGGACCACAGCGCGCAGCTGCCTTCTTCGCGCAGCACAGCGCTGCCGCCTGACTGTCGCCACACTGCAGGCAGCCCTGCAAGCTGGAAATAAGCCTGGGGCTGGCCCCGCTTCGGGGGCTTAGGCACCAGCCCCGCAGATCCCCTGCGACTGTGCGGTGCTGTAGACTTCCTATACCTTGACTCCCTTGAGGCATGATCATTGGTCCCACTTGGCTATGGAGGGCATTCGTTCTGGCCCTCCACGACCTCTCCGCATTTTCAGTGTCATTGGCCATGGTACCCTCTGGGCCAGGTTGCAGCGGGGGGGCAGGATGTTGGCTGTTCTCCTGTTACTGTTGGTGGGAGGGGAGCAGCCTTAAGTCCCTGGCTTGCGGGGTGCCCTAGGGCTCCCACCGTTCCCCATGTTTGTTTAGCATCTACATGAAACCACTGGGGAGGCATCATCAGTATGCTGATGAATTCAATTGTACATCACCGCCCCAGGCCAAATGTTGCTGTCAAGTTGTCTCAGTGTCTAGGGCCTGGGGGTCTGGAGGGGGAGAAACACGTTCGACTCTATCCCAGGAAAACTGAGGGGCTATGGCTTTTGGGGCCCATGGATCCCAAAACTAGGCATTTTCCAACGTCGTTTTGAGGAGGAAGTTGCTCCCTGCTCAGAACCAGTGCACAATTTGGGATCTTCTTGGGTTACAGCTCCAGCTCATGAGCGTAATCGCTGTGGCCAGAAGTCTTGCACGACTTCAACTGGAGCACCAATTGCACTTGTTCCTGGACTGGGAGTCTCTGCTTGCAGCCGCTCCCCCTCAGACACTTCCAGGCTGGATTAGTGTAACACGCTCTACAGGGGGCTGTCCCCGAAGACGCAAATGATGCAGGATCCAGCAGTGTGGTTAGTCACTTTGCAAGCGTGTTGGCTCCGGGTGCAATTCAAGGTGCTGGTTATCACTTACAGAGCCCTACAGGGCACGGAGCCAGGTTATTTGTGGAACTGCTGCTCTCTGGCTGTAACATCATATCCCACACAGCCTTCTAGGATGCCCATGTTCCAGGTCCCCTCTGAGTGTGATCCTGTTGGACCTAAGAAGCATGCCTTTTCCACGCCTCTGGAATAATCTCCACCCCCCCCCCCCGGGATTTTCTTGCCCTCCACCCCACGCCCCCCCTCAAAGGATTTAAATC